TAACATCTTTTAAAAATGTAATAATTACGGGTGATATAAACATAAACATTATACCTGAGATACATGATGCTGGTACCCAAGATTATCTTTATCTATGTTCGTACCATGGTTTTTACCCAACACATCAAAGTGGTTCTTGTCTATACCATATGATGATAAAATCTAGCTCAACATATCTTACACTTGTCACAAAAACGTCGCTTACCGATCGTTTTGCTGTCATACTAACCTTAAATTTATCGCTGCCTAAGCTGAATCATAAACTTGTAAAGTTAAAACTAAATTAAACATAAAGAAACTCGTACATGATTTTTTGCCCCAGTTTTTCAATCGACGGACGCGAATGCATCTTTGGTGTGTTTAATTCATAATGTCGAACAAGCAATATCACATAATACGTCTGTAGTTGCTTCAAATAAACAACATCAAAATATCAAACCTTAGATAACCCCGGGTATTATTCGTTGTATAAGACACAGGGATAAACTTCACATGAAGACAAAAAAATATCCCGATAACCTCACATAACTAGTTATTAACAAGAGGTACTGGAATTTCTGCAATAATCTCTTAAAAAAAAATTAAAAGCAAATTATGAAAAAAATTAACTACTTAAAGCAGGCAAGGATAGCAAACGCCTTTGGACACATATTATAAATTTCACCTATACTTCAAAAAGGCATGAATCGTATTCAAGTTTACTATTAACCCATCCTTCACCGCTTATATCAGCCAAATATATAAATAACTATTTTATTAATATGGGAAAAGACCTTGCAGAACGCTACCTACCTCTAAATGTATTTTCACAGTCACATAACATTACGTACGAGTAGTTTTGTTATGTTAGATACCCAGCAACAAGAAATTTTACAAATAATTACAAATTTAAAAGATGACAGTGCTGACGGCTTTGATAACATTAGCAATAAAATCCTCAAAACTTTTAAGCATATTTTACCGTTAACACACATTTTTCAAATCTGCCTTTCGCACTGTATTTTCCAACAATGTTTAAAAAAAAGCAGTAGTTACTCCTGTCTATAAATCTGGATGTAAAGATCAAGTAAATAACTATTTGTCACCTACGCAATTTGGTTTCCGGGCATAGTTGTCAACAGCAGATGCGGTGCATAACCTATTTTACCCATATTACTCAGGAACTAGGCAAAGGGAAACATACTTTACCTGTTTTTCTTGATTTAGCAAAAGCTTTCGGTACCGTATCAATTCTGAAGCTTCTAAAAAAGTTGGAAGCACTGGGTATTAGAAGGACGCAGTTAAAACTGTTTGCAGATTATTTAGATATACTCAATGCGTCAAAATAGGAAATATTAAAAGAGATTACCAGAAAATGACCTGTTATGGTATTCCTCAGAGAAGTGTAATCGGTTCTACCCTTTTTTTTCGTTTACATCAATGAATTATGTAACCTCAATCTAAAATGTGGTAAAATTATATCTTACGCCGATGATACGGCCTTGATTTTTAGCGCCAATAGTAGGTCAGAATTATATAAGGTAGCTCAACTTGGGCTTAATAGTGTAAATAATTGGCTTCGCTGCAATTTACTAACACTAAATACTGACAAAACAAATTGTATTCACTTTTCTATGCGCCAGCCTTGTCATGGGTTTACAAATCCTAACTTATACGTACACCAAAGCCAATATCCTTTAAACAAACTATGCAATTGTCCTGTAATCCGAAACACATCCCATATAAAATATCTAGGTATAACGACACATTATCTATTAAACAGCATATTGCATAATAAATTTAGTAGTTAGGATCCGTAAATTAATGAATATCTTTAAAAAATTACGTACCATTGCAGGATCTAAGCTAATTAAACAGGTATATCAAGCCTTATGCAAATCAGTAATTCAATACTGTATAACTTAATGGGGTGGAGCTCTCAAAACTATTTTAATCCCTCTCGAGCGAGCTCAGAGAGCCATTTTAAAAGTAGCCAATTCACTTCCCTTCCTATGTCCTACACACCAACTTTGCAAATACTGTAATGTGTTAACTGTTCGCCAGCTTTTCATTATGCACACCATATTAAAACAACACACCATTTCTCCTTTTGGCTCGATAATAAAATACGGAAAGATATAGTCTGCATCTCTACACATGAATCAAAATACATATTTTCACATAGATTCTCTACTTTTCTAAGTCCTTTCTTATATAATAAGTTAAACAGAGTATTATGTATTTACATTAAACTATTTAACTGTAGAAAAGTAGTATTTAATTATTTGCACAGCCTGACATACGAGCAGGCCGAAGAATTACTTTTTATTTGTTAATAAACTAACATAACTCCATAATTTACATTTAATAACATATAAAACTATTACTTTAAGTTCTGTTTTTTAATTTATTAATCATAAAATGTATTATTTTAGGTCATAGAAGTCTGAAATACAGGTACGATTGATACTGTAACCTAGTTCAGGCATCCTTTATTTTGTATTTTTTATTATTTCTATTATGCAATGTTGACCTTCTTTGAATGAAGATATATTATTATTATATCCATATAAATACTATCAATACAAGTGGCCGAAGTGGCCGTTATTCTAGTAAAATCCATGAACAAGTTTTCCAGATTATGTGATTAATATAGATTTCTTAATTTAATACTCAAAGTGGAGGTTTGTAATAGATTGATATTAAAGTCGCTACAAACAATTGATTGTTTACCAGTGATGAGATTTTTTTTAAAAACTTCATCCATAATTTCTTCAAAACAATCATACAATGCTGAAGGAGGTTTGTATACACTTAGTACATACAATAAGCCGGTCCAGTTTCACACAGGGAATTTCTATTGTTCGCTCAACCGAGAGGCTTACAATATCTTTACGTTCCTTAAATTTAAGTGTATTATTTAATAGAATTAAAGAGCCACCGCGAATTGCATTTTCTCGACTGAACGAACTACCAACCTGATGATTATTAAAATTAAACATGAATTGATGATCCAAAGAAAATAAATATAACTAGAAAAACTGACCAGTCAGCAGACGGGGAAAAAAATAATATGAATTACTATGAATATATATAACTAATATAACTATGAATTGATGACTTTTAAGGCATCGATGAAAAATGTTGAAAAAACTGGTAAAAATATCAGACGCGGCCATCAGGGCCGTAGTAGCATAATTGGTCAGTGCATTCGCCCGGATTGCGAAAGGTACGGGTTCGAGTCCCGTCCGCTGCCTGGTCCGCGTGGATTTTTTTCTAGTAAAACTTTTCTTTAGATTTAAACATCTAGCAGTTAAATGCTTAAAAAAAATAAAAACATAACTATAATTGCTATTTCTTCTTTCAAATGTTTAATACTTGAAAAAGTATTAATTTGACATTGTGGGTTATCTACAATGCGAAGAGATGGCGCTGCCTTGCAGCTTAAGGCTAGGAAAATTTTGACGCGGCCATCAGGACCGTGGTAGCATAATTGGTCAGTGCATTCGCCCGGATTGCGAAGGGTGCTGGTTCGAGTCCCGACCGCTGCCTGTTCCACGTGGATTTTTTTCTACTAATACTTTTCTTTAGATTTAAACATCTAGCAGTTAAATGCTTAAAAAAATAAAAACACAACTAAAAATATTCCATTTGTGAGATTCCGTTGCGTGCGCTGGGTACACAGTTAAAGTAACACGAAAAACATTTATAACGGAATTGTTCCCCTTCAAAAGTTCTGTAAAAAGACCGCGACAGCATATGTCCATGTTTGAAGTTTGACTCACTATCAAATTAACGCGGGTGAAACCGCAAGGGAACTCTAGTTGTGACATAACTGTGATAGTTAGACATATAGTATCGCGGACTTTTCTATAGATATTGATATCCTCTATAAAACTTTAGTACATCACTTTGCTCAATTGTCAAGGACTTCCGCAGCGTTCGCGATATAAGGTTATTTTTTGGTATTATTTACACGCGTTGGGTTACATTGTCGAAGTGTTCATACGGAACCCTAACTTTTTTGAAAATACACTAAACTGCCTGTGTTCATCACGGATAATGAAGGATTTTAAATGTCAAAGAATTTTTCAAATCGGTCCAGTAGTTTCAGAGCCTATTCAATGCAAACAAACAAATCTTTTCTCTTCATAATGTTAGTATAGATTATAGTATATTAAGCATAGATAAAATAACTTACAATTGAATCGTAAAGGTTGGCCGGTCATTATGTTCATTAATATACGTTATGCTTGGAACAGGTTCTACTAGTGGGGATGGGTCTGATCTGTGCTACTTCATTTTGTGTAATTATACTTAAAATTTTATATATATTTTTTAAATACTTATAAAAACGAAATCAATACTAAACCTAATATGGCTTGATAGTGAAAACAAAGAAAGAATGTGCCAGCTGCTAAATTTCTCATTTTAATAAAATGCCTATCGAAGCTTAGGGTAAATCCGAACATCGGTCAACGTCGTCTGAACGGTATTTGCCGAACCTAGATTGCCTAAAACATAGTACTCTATCTAATAAAGTCGTTTTTGATATTTAGTCTACTGATGATGATAAGTTATATTGTGTATGTTTAGTTAATCAATGACACGTAATATATAAGTGCATTTGGGTGGGGCTATGTTTAACAGTAGGCGTCGTACGGCTGATATGATGATGATGATATAAGGTAAGGTTCCATTTGCTTCACGGTTAAGGTAACGTTCCATTACTTCAAACAGCGCGAGTGATATTTTAAGTACCGCAAGCGTCTATAGGCTATGATTGCCCCTTTCCATCAGGCGGATATATAATGATCGATTCAGTTGGAGCTTGTAATGCCCTTTTGGCCTAATCATGTCCTATGGGTGTGCTTTAGTCAGTAAGAGTCTGACATAACCTTGTAGCCGTCTGTAAGGTATCCATGAGGATTTCACACCCGATCCCCCGCCTGGGAAGAAACATAAAAAGCCTATGTACAGCAGTGTGCGCCGTACAGCTGATACGATAATGAAAAAAGTACCTCTGTATACAAATGTTCGTGTTCCTTGTGCGAGAGTTGCGCGGAGACACTGGGCAAGCCGAGGTCATGCGGGGCGGGCGGCGGTCGCTCCGCCCTAGCCTCTGCCAGCCGCAGGGCGGCCAAGCGGCGGTTCTCCTGCCGCCACGAGAGCGCAGTGAAACTCTCGAAGTACGACCCGTCTGTGTCTTGAACCCTGAACAAAGTATGTATTGATTTCAATTAAGCTCTGAAATGTGTCTGAAGCGGTGTTCAGTCCGGAGGTAAAACTCAAACTGAAATGATTTATTGCAACCATAATGTGTACAGCGTGTCAGGCACGCAATTGGTTGTTAGAAGAGAGGATGCCTGGTCTTAATATAAGTGTTTATAACGACTCCTTTTTATTCTTCCTTCTATTTTATTACGATGAAAAAGTTAAGTTATGTCGAATGTTGTAGTTGATTAGCGCATTCGGCTTGCGATCGTAAAAGTTAAGCAACTTTCGCATTGGTCGGTAATTGGATGGGTGACCAAAAAATGCTAATTCGAGCTCGTCCATGCTTTGGAAGGCACGTTAAGCCGTTGGTCCTGGCTGCATGTACAGTCGTAGCACCCACCAACTTGCACTGGGCCCGCGTGGTGAGTCATGGCCCAATCTCCCTATTCATAGGGAAGGCCTATGCCTCAGCAGTGGGGGCATTAATAGGCTGATGATGAAGCTCAGAAATGTGTGTAAACCTGTGTGATATTCGGAGATAAGATCTCCCATAAGCGCTCATAACACTTCTTTTGAATATTACTTCTGTTTTTTTACAATGAAAAAGCTTAGTTAAGTCGAATGAACAAGACAGATATTTATCGTTTCAAGAATAGAAGTAAACAATGTTGATGAAAGCGCAATTCGAATAATTCCAATTTCCTTTATGCTGATTTCTGTTATTCTAATATTATCGAAATTTAGTTAATTTGAATGCAGTATCAGCTTGAGAATTTAATATAAGGACTGTTTCAGTTATTCAATGTTTATCAAATTATGTTTCAGTATACAGAAACGTACGACAAAAATTTTAGTTTACTTTTGTGCCGTTTATCGCTAGCTACGAGTCGTTCAAGGGAACTAATTACCGACAAACGTAATTAAAGTTCTATCTGTAGTCTTATTATAATACCACAAACTTACACAAATCTTATTGGAAGAGTTCATGGAATTCAGTATAAAATTTAGCAAATAGTGATTTCGCCCTCCTTCCTAGTGTTAACGTTATATCATGTAATTATTATATAGGTATAACGATCAGGTGAACAACGCACGCCGCAAAGCGCGGCCGTGCGGATGTAATAATAATAAATATTTTCTACACTCACACCAATTAGTCTAGCCCCAAATTAAGCACCGCAAGGCTTGTGTTATGGGATGCTAGGGTAACGGATATAATACATACACTGTACATATATAAGTATACAAATACAAATACTCGTATTCATCACACAAACATCTGCCACCACCGGGATTCGAACCCGGGACCTCGAGTCGGCAACACCATGAAACCCGGCGTACAAACCATTCGGCCACGGAGGTAGTCATAAGTATAAGCGTTATATCAGTGCGTTGTCGTACCTACTTATACGCCTTATCAAATTAACATCCACGCACCGCCATCCGCCGCGGTTCGCGGCTCGTGCGTTGTTCACCTAAACACTTGAATAATATTGTTATCAGTGAAATGAATTGTACGTGTTATGTACGCAACATAAATGAGCAAGTCAACAATGAAGGTAACATCGCACAGAATGTAGCATTTCTATCGAAACCTTTCCGAGAAGGCGGGTGAGTCGTGTGAGTGATGAATTATAATACTAAAGGTGCCCTGCAATTTTACCTGCATTAATTTGAGGAAAAAGGATATAGTGGGTAATTCTTACAAGATGGACCTATGCTGCCGCACACTTTTTTTTTAAACTTTTGAAATGTAACAATTCCTTTAAACATGATTTTTGTGTAACTTAGACCGTTAACAGCACACGCAACGGAAGCTCTCAAATGTAATACTCTTTCCGTTTTTGCAATATTTTTCATTGGTGCTCCGCTTTATAGCCTTCCTCGATAAATGCATTGTCCAACACAAAATCTGTCTCTAGAATTTTTCAAATCAGACCAGTAGTTCCTGAGATTAGCGCGTCCAACCGAACAAACAAACAAACTCTTCAGCTTATAATATTAGTATAGATGTATTCTATGAAAATTCGGTCCAGCGAAGTATGGCTGGCGCTGAAACGCCATATGTGGATGACAATCTACTTATTATTTGTTCCTTTCCAATCATTTGTGGCGGCTCTTGTATATTACGTTTACTCGGATGTGAAGAGATGCTTTGACCGAGATGTCTAAACGAAGGAATCTAACTAAATAAATATTTACTAAAAAAAATATTATTAAGGCATTTAATAATGTTGGGTTTCTTGAAACGCCTATGTAAGAATTTCTTCAACAATTTTATGCTTATATAAGAATTTGGTTCAAAGTATACTAGAATACAGTTTCTAGGTCTGAAATCCGCAATATCGAGTCCAGATTGATAGAATCGAGCGAATTCAACTTAAGTTTACGAATTTGCTAGCTTTCAAAGACAGGAAGTGTCCTTATCATGCGGATAAGCATACTCGTCTCAAATACTTTTAACTTCATACCTTAGAAAAGCATAGAAAAACCGCGGACATTTTTTCTGCACAAATTACTTTAAACGGCAAAATTGTTGCGCAAGACCTTCTTGCGGAAATTAAATTAAAGGTTCCTAGAAAAATCCCCCGCTAACAACATATAAGTAGTCAATGTTGTACATGCCTGCAATGGAAATTCACACGGTCGAGTAATACCTGCATCTTTAAATCTTTATTAAAATTTGTGAGGTTGTCGATGGTATGTCAAATAAATAAAATAAAATAAGATATTCGACTCGGCGCATATCCGACTGGATAGCGGAAGGCGTCAGTTTGAATCCTTGCTGATACCAACTAAAATATTTTCTAATAACATTTTCTTTAGATTAATGAATCAAGTGGATTAATTAATGCTTAAAATAAAAATATATTAAACGGTCAAGAATTATTATACCTAATGTTACCGTTAGGTAGGTATATAAATTTCTTATAGTAGCAATATTTTTTTTGTTTCTTCATAACTTTTTTATATATTGTATAAAATGATCCTAAGTTATGAAGTTATGAATGAATGTAGTGTAGATATATGTCTGTGGAATGACATCTATCTATTTCTAAATTTACATTGTAAAAGGGTAATAAAAGTGCCCCAGCGTCTTTTACGAAACAGCTATCTTCGCATCTGGACTCCACTTACACTTGCTTGATATCACAAAGGGTGGAGCCATTTGTTATTTTTAGACCCTGCATAAAAAATAGAAACAAGCAAAGTTTCTTTATTAGAAATACGTGTACCTAGAAAAATTAAAGTATGAAGTCGCTGCAGAGTTCTATTTTTTTTTTGTTTTCTTATAGGAAAACTTGCTATCCGCCCCATGCTTGCACAGGTTATTTTGATACAATGGTGATGCAATGATGCAAAAACATAGGTTATATTACCCAGGAATACTGTAACGCAACATTCTAATAATGAAATAGTTTTCGAAACGGTCCAGTTGTTTTTGAGTTTATTCATTACAAACACAGAAATTTATATATAATACTGGTAAAGATAAAATTTATTTAAGCTAGCCATCGAATATTTTTTGCCATTTAAATGTAAAAGCGCATACAAAGTCTTGGACATGAACTTTTGATTTCATTTCATATAGCCTTGGAAGTGGGTAAATATGAATTGATTTTAATAGGTACTGGTTTTTAACCGACTTCATTATAGGAGGAGGCTCTGTGTTCGACTGTATAATATGTTACAGTTAAAAGATAGAACGTGTTTTCCCTAGTTAAAATTAGTTTTTACTAAATACCTTTGTTATAACTTTGAAATAACTAGTCAAAACTAGAATTTATCACTGATATATTTGATTTTCAGATAAAACTAGTTGTCACTCCGAGCTTTAGTTAAAACTAGCACTAGAGAAACTAATTTAGGATTGAACACAAGATATTATATTAAAAATATTTATTAAAAAGTTCTAGGAAACAGTCATATCGTCACTTGTAATATGAATTACCGTGACCGCCAAAAGTAAATTTTTCAGGAGAGGCAAAAAAGTAATTTGAAAATTAGAAAAAATATTATTACTTTATATATATGTACTTATCTTTTTGAAATTATGTTTTAAGCATTTGTCTTATATTTATGTGATCTTCTAGATAAACGAGATCGTAAAAAGCCAGCTATTATAGTTTAGAAAATAGCATGGTCGAAACGTGTCGAATCAGGTGTCGTCTTGCAATCAATAAGAATAAGGTACGATGAACTTTAAGAACAATTTTAACTGACTCGCATCGAAAAAACGCGTATTATCTAGTAAGGACTAGTTTTAACTGATATTTCATTTTGAGCATTAGTTAAATCTAGTTTTAACAAAGGCATTCAGTAAAAACTTGTTCTTACTAGGGAAAACGCGTTCATATATATTTTATGTAAGTTCACCGATTTCTCCGTCAATTGTGGACCGATTTTCAAAGTTCTTTTTTTATTCGAAAGAGTGCACTTCCGAGGTGATCCCATTGGAACCAAGTCAAGATCCGATTGTGGAATCCGGGGAAATCGAGAGAAACCTTCAAATTTCAAAGGCACGCACGATGTTTTTATGCATGCTCACCGATTTCTCCGTCAATTGTGGACCGATTTCCAAAATTCTTTTTTTATTCGAAAGAGTGCACTACCGATGTTGTCTCATGGAACTATTCAGGATCTAATGGTGGAATTCCGCAAAATCGAAGGAAACCTTCTTATAAAAAAATATTATTACTTGGACGATGTAATTTTCACGATACTTTGTTTATATGTACACCGATTACTTAAAGATTTCTGGTCCAATTTAAGTGATTCTTGTTTTGTTCAATTGGAGATACTTGCAATTTGGTTCCATAAAAAATATTTTGTCTCATCCAGTATATTAGCGTTAGAGCGCTGGTTTTTGTCGTGCGAGGATAAAATAGAAATTTTACTACGGAAATATTTTAGTATATTGATTTAATATCATTGACAAGCAACAACGACATATAACACAGAAAAATAAAACCACAAATCATATTAGGAACTCTTTC